GCACGCGGTTCAATCGGGTACCCATTTCTCAGTTTCTCCTTCTTTGTCCGCAGCGGAAGGCGTTTCTGGATCGCTCGATAACGGAGGGTGACAGTGTGATCCTCTACGATTCTAACAAGCACAGTGCCGCGTGGCTGCTTCGAGAACAAGACCCACCGACGCAAGCAAAATCGGACCTTTACCCCAGAAGCTTTCTTCTTTGATACCTCTGCGATTCGTGAGAAATGTAGTACTATGAGATGCTCCCGCAAAGACATACCGCTACTGGCAGAATTTACGCCAGTCAGCTCCAAAAACTAGCAAACGCTGTTCAAGAAAAACGAGCGAGACAAACTTCAGTCCACCTACTCCACGATGACGCTAGCCCCACATAGCTAAGGAGACCCGTGCAAAATTAGAAGAGCAGATCTGGGACGCGGTTCCCCACCTACACTATTCCCCTGACACTGCCCTCTCTGACTACCACTTATTTCATCCCCTTAAGGCATCTCTAGGAAGAAAAAAATTTACCAAAGTTGAAGACGTCAAAAGAGCGGTCAGTGACTTCTCTGACTGTCAGTCTGCTCAGTTCTGGGGGAAGGGGGTCACTGACCTGCCCATTAGGTGGGACGCTGCAGTGTAACAGTGGTGATTATATTGTTTGGTAGATTCCATTGTACGCGGAATAAAAAAGCAAAGAACAAAAAAGTGTCAAACGGCTCAGGACTATTTTAAAGGATAAAGGATAAAGCACTTGCCATTGATCAAACCCTTTTTGGGATGCGGCGCGCATTCTACTTCCACTTGTACATTCGCAGTGGCTTTTGAATGCGATGTGGCCTATACAATGACATGCGGGGGCCAGCCGATGTACAAGTCAGTGTTTTTATCCACCCAGACAAGTCAGGTACCAATTAACCGACCCCGGAGGGATGGAAGGCTTGGTTGGCCTGGGCGATTCACGACCTAGGATTTGATCCCCGGACCGCTCGCGTTTCAAGCGCGCCACTTGTCACTACACCACTTCCGCACGGGACTTTTTTACCACTCTAATATATCATATCTGAGGGACAGCGCCTCAGTGGTGCTGAGACGCGCGCTATGAATTTCGTGAAATTTGCGTCTCAGCGCCTCTTATCAACCTTTATCAGCCCTTATCACCTCATCTACCCCACTGAACGTGTTCCCGTCCTACCCTTTACATGACTTCTTGGAACCAATGCTCCAAGCTGCTGAAACACCCATTGTAAATTTCGTGAAATCTGCTTTTCAGCGCCTGCTATCAGGTCTTATGAGTAGTTATCACCTTCTGACCACCACCGTATGTTTCCTACCCACCACCTACATATATCATATTCAAATACAGCGCTCTACCGCTGCAGTGCAGCGAGCTATGAATTTCGTGACACACGCGCACACACACGCACAAACATACAGACATAGCGCTACATATAGTAGGGATAATGTCGCAGGCTTATCTACCGAAAATTAGGGTAATGTTTCTCAGCTCGAGGAGCGGTAACAATTTTTGCACATCAGTACACAATGCAAGCCTGCATGACCACCATTTACTGTAGAAGTGCAAGTAATAAACACTGCCTTAGTATCGCACGAGGACAGAGGCACAGGTCCCTACGCATCCTCTAGGCCGTCCATCCGTGCGCTGTAATTGTAACGTCACTGTAACGGGAAGTCTTATTGGTGAGGTTCAGAGGAGAACGTTTGAGAGAACTGGTAATGTACCTCTGGAACACATCGGCAAAAATGTATTTGTGAGGTTGAAGTGGGTTTTTTTTGAAATTGTGATTTTTTTAACGAAATATGTGAAATCATTGTAGGTTTAGGGAGGGCTAGGTCAGGACTCCCAAAAACAGTGATCAGCTGACTGGATTCCTTGATTTCTTCTAGTATCTCGATCTTCTGCTGTATGTTGCTATTCTCTAGCGCTAGACCACTTCGCTTGAGAACAGTACGTTTTTTGTGTGAAAAAGTAAGCTGTTTTGCATGGAATTTGCACGATTATAATATATACTAATATACTGAAGCGTGATTTTTGCATATTCGATGAATTTCTATACGCTACCGTTTTTTATTTCTGCGTTGAATGCAGTTTTCATAGCTTTCATGGCAGTATCATCCGCGTGTTCTTTTCATTGTTGAGAACACTTTTTGACATTGCTATGAAGCTTGCATCCTACGAGCAACATGGACTTGCCAGTATCGTTAGGTTTGTTTTTGAAATTTGAATATAACACTTTCCTTTTGACGTGTTTCCATAACCGCATCTTTTGCGTGTTCCCTTCCTTACGCAGAAGACTATATGATGCTGTTTTGGAGCAACCTTTCGCTTTATTTCATTTCCCTTTTCCAAGTCAGTGGCCGCGATCGCCCTTTTGTTTCTGCGTAAGGTCTCCTTTCTATTTTTCATTTAACCTTTTCTTTTGACATGTTCTTTTAACCGCATCTTTTACAATGATCTTACCCTTGTGCGGAGGACTATTTGATGCGTCTTGAACAACCTGTCGCTTTATTTCATGTGTTGTATGCTAATGTAATTACATGGAATATTGTGGGTTTCGGTCTCGAAACTGACCCCGGTGATGAAGATCGTAAATGTTGTCATGTGCGAAATGACCTCCGGATATCGAGGAGTTTGGCCACGTGAACGTTGTCTAAAATATCCCCGGGTATCGAGTACCACCCCCGAGCCAATGCTCACAGTATTCGGACACGCCCACCTACTGTCTATAAATAGTGATTTGTAATCATAGCATTACTCTACTCTCTACTCACATTGTGAACATTACTTCGGTCCCATTACCAAAGTGATTTGATTGATTTCTCAGAAGCTTGGGACGCCCCGAGCTCTCTCCGAAAGCGAAGGCCGCCATGCACTTTTATTGTTGAAACTAACAAAGTACGAAACTAAAAAGGTAAAGAAATACTTCAATGGCCGGACGAAAGCCTCATGGGTGCTTGAAGGGGTGCAAAACGACACCACAGGAAGCAGAATACAGAACAGTATTGTTAGCAACAAGCGCATATTAATTACAGAATCACGCAACGAAATCAAAAGCAACACTAAGCATGTTAAGTTTGCGTTTATTCCTCCATGCATACTTTTTGAGGATCCGACAATGGCATCACCAAGCACGAGCTGGAAGAAAGCACGCACAAAAGCGACAGGTGGCTTCAAACCAACATCAGATAGCCTTCTGCGCAAGAAAAGACGTTAAAGATGCTGTGATGAAGAACGTGTCGAAAGGAAAAAAGTCAAATAGACCACAGTGAAGAAATCTTACGCAAGAGACAAAAAGACGGCGATCACAGCACTACCTAGGGAAGGATATGTGTAATGTATTTCGACTCTGAAAAAAATCAATGTCTAGTGGTTCTGACAATTTCACCGAGTCAAGATTGAAAGAGCTCTTTCAGAATATTCGCACAAAGATTTATTGAAATAAGATATGACGAGAAATCGAACGGAATCGAATCACTTGGGTAATGAGACCAAAATAACGCTCACAACGTGAATAGAGAGTAGAGTAATGCTAGGATTACAAATCATTAATTTTAGACAGTAGGTGAGCGTCCGAATGCTGTGGGCCGTAGCTCGAAGATGGCACTCGATATCCGAGCATATTTTAGACAACGTTTATGATGCCGAGACTGCGGGGCCAAACTCCTTAATATCCGGGGCTTATTCCACACATGACAACATTTACGATCTTCTTCGCCGGCTTCAGCTTTTAGCTTCAAGCCCGAAGCCCACAATATTGGATGTGATTAAGTATGCATTTAACACGGGGGCCTTTGGAAAAAGGCGTTCCTTACGCCGTAGATTAGATTGCCCGCGGGACGCACAACTTCGTCTTCCACGCCCTCTATTTCTGCGGTTGTAGTTACCGATTACCGATTCTTGTTAACAGGGGCGAGTTCGAAGAATTTGTTGCCTATTCGTAGGAGCGGCTGACCGCGATGAACTTTTCGAGCTGAAGGTTCTTGGCGGTGACTTTCTCGCTTTATGGTGGAGGGCCCTTAGTGTGTTGGACGGCTACTGCCTCTGTGGTGAGAACCACCTCGTCGATGTCCTTCTCTGCCGGACGTGACCTTGCGGTAGCGTCCTGCCCTTGCGGTTCCGGTTTACGCCGTGCGTTCGTCAGTCCTTCGGAACGGTATTGACTTCAACAGTGATGAGTGTTGTAACATTGTTGTATTCAACGTTAGGCCGCTCTTTGCGTGAATACGTTCCCTTTTTCGAAGATGGCCGTGGCGAATCCAGCTCCAATCATTTTCTCATCTTAACGAAAGGGCAGGAGGCATCGAAGGCGATCTTTTAGAGATGGTCGCTGTTTCAGCGTTTCCAATAAATCTCGAAGCATATCCGCGGACTTTTTTCATTGTTTGTCCTTCTTTGGTTCAGCCAACGCGATGAGTTCCGTGCCCTTAGCGACTAATTGCATTAAAAGTGTCCAGGCCACACGCCATCTTGTAGTTCCAGCGAATTCCGCTAGACTAAAGAGTATAACAGAAGAGTATTCTTCGGCAGACCACGCCGGCTCGATATGTTAAGGTTTCCTCATAACCACCGCTGTTTGGTATTGCGACTCAAGACAATCCGTCAGATCTTGGAATCCGATTGGAAGAATGATAAGGTTCTTTCTTGGCTTTAGGCCCAACCAAGGCGAGTTAGTCCAGGAGTGAGTCGAAGCATACCGTCTTGCGATATCCGTAATGACAGCCATATTGTTCGGATCCGGTTCGCTGCGGGGTGGTTGCTCCCTGCCTCAGCTACCGATATAAGTGTCGAGTGAATACAGTGCTGTTGATGAAATGCTAATGCCATGCCGAGTTTGGATGGGTGATTAGGTCGTATGAACGATACAAGAGTCTGGCTGTACGCCATGCTTTGGGATTGTATGAGAACAGACAACATACGAGCTTAATCATACGGGAACAAAATTTCAAAGATCCAAAAGGGCGTTCGGGATAATATTAAGTAGAGTCGCTTCAGCAGAACATTACACTTCGAGTCCTTGACACATCAGCTTTCCTAGGCAGTGCCAATCGACATCATCAGTACATACATCACTCGTTGACGAGAAGGTGGTGCTGAAAATAGAATAATGAATACTGAAAACACGTTTTGGGGGCAGTTTTATTAATTGTTGGTGCTTCTTCCGTAGGCATGCCACGTTTCCGCAGCGGGTAGTCAAACCCCTAACTGGTGTATCACTACTCTGTGATGGAACTAATAAGTGTCACTAAAGCAGAATTTTGTGATACGCTAACCACGCGAAATTTGCCTTTCCATGCAATCACGAGTTTAGGACGGCGCGATTTACCTTTTCTGCATGGATTTGGACGTAAACGCCATCTCCAACACTAAATTTCGCGGATCTTCGAGTGTTCCACTCTTCATCATAGGCTCTTTTCATCCTATCACGATACTCATTGGTATGTTCCGTGATATAATCACGAGCTACCTGTAAACCACTAAAGAATTCCGTTTTATAACGATCGTAATCTACTACAGGGGTGGCCAAAAAAAGAGACACTTTGCCTATGGCGCACATCATCGAACTTTTTGTCGCACTGGGAGCCGATGTCAATGAGAGTATTATGGCGGAATATTCCTGAGATGTTCCCACATAAGCAGAAGTAGGCCCTTTTTCACTGCCTCCACCGTCTTCAAAATATGAGGTCATCTGTTGTCACCGTCGAGGTCAACGAGGCTTGCTGTAATCTCTCCGGCCTAAAGCTGCTACATGATTTCTTCAATTGATTAGATGGTAACTGACTTTTAGGAGGCACTAGCTCTTACTGTGCGAGACCGCTTTTAACCAGCGTTTTGGGGAGGTCGTAATGGCCTATGGTACATCGACGACCTCGTTGAGCTCGTATCGTGAACCATGTTTCCGTGAAAATCTTCTGATGTAGACAGCGCAGAAGGCTGTCACGTAACATTTATGTAGATCAGAGTGTGCTCTTTAATACTAAGTTGGGTTCAGTCGATTTGATTCTAGCAAAGTGTGATTAATGCTGGCTGAACTTTAAGTGAAGTGTTTCTTTTTTTGGCCACCCCTGTATATAGGGTGACAAATTCGCAGATGGTCCAACGGCTAATGGGTACGTAGGATCGTAGCCATAAGGCAAAGAATGAGGATTTTTCAGTTGCTTGGTGGGGCGCTGCATTGTACGCATATGCTATCGTGGTTAGAATCTTATCCCATTCAGCAGGTATAACTGTTTTCTTTCTGAGACTTTTTACAATTGCCACATTGGCTTTTTCCATTATACCGTTTTCTCTTGGGCAATAACCCTGTAGTGAACTTTTGCTCAAAACCCATAACTGAACATAGTGCTTCCATAACGGAGTTCTCAAACTCGCTCTCACGACCGAAAGGAGTGCAGCTGGCCATCTACCGCAGCCGCAGATCCAGTTGCTAAAAAGCACCTCAGCTACCGTTTCGGCCTTTTTGCCAGGTATGGGATATGCTCCTAAGTATTTCGTGAAATGGTCTACAATGGTGACAATGTAGTGATTGCCACAAGTATTCGAAGCCATTTCCATTAAATCGATTCCGACGATTTTGAATGGTTTTACAGTAACTACCGGCTTGAGATGTGGGATGTTTCGCCTCTTATTGTTTACTAAAAAGCACACTTGACATTCCCTGCACCATCTAACCAGATCATGATACATACCCCGCCAAAATGCTACATTACTGAGCTGGTGGTACATTTCCGAGCATGAAAATGACCTCCTGAAGCGCCATATGTGTCTCTTTGGAAAGCTCTTGTTGTTGTGGAAATGAGGATTGTTTATGATCTGGTGTTATCACTGACATCGAGGTGTATATAGACACCTCGATTAATTGAGGTTCCGTTTTTTCCCTGCAATAAATCTTCTTCCAAGAACTGGTCGTAACAACTGACGATCAGGCTCGAGGACTTATGCAGAAGCTGCCCGATCTTCTCTCCCTGATGCAAAGCCGGATAGATCGCAAGGAGAAGACACTGGAGCTCATGCAGGATTCCTTCCTCCGTGTCTTGAAAAAAATGGAGATGCGAATGGAGGCAGCGAATTCCGCGGCTGCTAAGCACAGTATCTCTGACTCCCTGTGCCGCCGCATCGCCAAGTTCAATTTCGACGCGGGAAACGGAAGAACGTTTGATGTCTGGTACAAACGATTTAAGGACGTCTTCGACAACGACTGTACGGAGTTTTTTTTTTGGCTCTGGTAAGACATTATTTCGTCGACGATTTGAATGCCTTAAAATTCAGTATGACCACCAGAATTTTAACAGCTACGAAACCTTTGTTCAAACACGTTGTTCTGATGCCAAATTCGACTCCAACAAGTTCGATGGTCTGCAGTGTCACATCTACGTTGCAGGATTCCAGAGAGCCGAATTTGCAGACTACAGAATACGACTGCTAAGGAAGCTTGATCAAGGTGAAGACATTACGATCAAAGGCCTACTGCTAAGTGTCAACTTATGAAGGCATACAAAGAAGACGCCAGAATGCTGGAAAACGCAGTTACTGCTGACGCTACGATCAACCATGTCAAGAAGAGGAAGAAAAGAAGAAATTTCAGGCAGAAGACAAAAGTATAAAAAAAATACCAATGCGCTTCACGACAGTACACGATCTGGAATACAGGAATCAACATCACCATCACGCCCGCAGACCACACGTTATGGGACAAAGAGCTACCAGATCAAAAGCATCGAGGGCGCCTTAGCCAAACACAACCAACCACACCTGGAAGTTGAAGTGAATGGACATCCCCTGGATCTTTTACACGATACTGACGCCATGATCGCACTGATCTCAAAATCGAGCTGGAAGATACTCGGGAGGCCGCAACTACGAAACTGTAACACGGTCACTAACGCCGCCAATGGAAGAAGAGTCCCAACAAATGGATCTCTAATGGTCGATTTTGTGCTGAGGAGCTCTGACGGAAAACAACATCGGGGACGAGGATACTATTACGTTACCGGTAATCTCGACATTTTCGGCTGCGAGTGGATTCAGAAGATTCCGGAGCCGGTGGAACCACTGCAAAGATGTGTCAATGGTGTGACCATCGTTGCGGATCCTGCGGCTGCTTACCGAGAACAAAGGCTGCGGCTTGTTGCCAAGTTGAAAGACAACTATGCTGACGTATTCAAGACAGGACTCGGACGTTGTACCAAGACGAAGGCAATCTTACAGCTGAAACTCGATGCTCAACCCGTTTTTAAAAAGAAGCGCCCCGTGCCATACGCATATTTCGCCACACTGGACGAAGAGATCGACCGCCTACTTGCAGAACAAGTACTTTCCCCAGTGGACTACTCTGCCTGGGCTGCGCCGATCATCGTCATCAAGAAAGCAAACGGTACACCACGACTTGGTGCTGACTTTTCGACAGGTCTAAACGACGCTCTCATGCAGCACCAACATCCACTACCAACGCCGGACGACGTTTTTACGAAACTCAATGGTGGCACAACATTTACGCAGATAGACTTCGCGGATGCTTATCTACAAATCGAAGTCGACGACGAGGCGAAGGAGCTGTTAACCATTAATACACACAGAGGACTACTACGCTACAATCGCCTCCCGTTTGGCGTCAAATCTGCGCCCGGCATCTTTCAGCAAATCATTGATTCCATGATTTGCGGACTCGAAGGCTGCGCTGCATACCTCGACGATGTTATTGTCACAGGCCGCAATATCGAGGAGCACGTCGCCAATCTGGAAGCTTTGTTCAAAAGGATATCCGATTATGGCTTCCGTGTCCGGATCGAAAAATGCAATTTCCTGGTGCCTTAACTCCGCACCCTACGGACATGGACGGCCAGTCCTAGGCGGACATCGGCCAGGTGCGATCGTTCCTGGGTATGCTCAGCTTACGAACACTTCATCAGTGAGATGCGACAGCTACGTGCACCGTTCAATGATCTACTGAAGAAGAGTGTCCCGTTTAAATGGTCTGCCGAGTGCTAAGATGCATTTCAACGCGCCAAGAATGTGCTAGCCTCGGCTCTCCTGCTCACCCACTAAGATCCCACAAAGATCTTTGTCGCGGCCGACGCGTCGGAGTATCGGATAGGAGCAGTGGTTAGTCACCGTTTCTTGGATGGAACGGAGAAAGCAATACCACGCTGGCCGTTCCCTGACAGCTGCCTAGAAAAATCACGGTCAAGTCGAGAAGGAGGCTCTCGCCATGACGTTCGCCCTACGGAAATTCCACCATTACATATATGGATGACATTTCAAGCTGTTAACTTTCACAAACCACTTCTCGTAATTTTCGAAAGCAAGAAAGGAGTGCCTATTTACACGGCTAACATACTTCAACGCTGGGCTTTCATAGTGAAGAACCACGACTTTACTATAGAATACCGAAGTACCTCCAGCTTTAAACAAGCAGATCCCTTGACGCCTCATCGCGGACCAAGCGAAAATAGATCTAGTCATTGTCGCAATTGAAAAAGCTCGTGCGCGATATTCGCCAATGCAATATCAAAAATGCCAGTCGATGCGAAGAAGATAGCAGAAGAAACATCTGGGGATCCAGCTCTGCAGAGTGCTCTAAATTTCGTTCGGAGTGGAGAATGGCTAAAGAAATCCAAGATCACAAGTCGGTTCAAATGGCTCAAGGAAGCTCTCAACCCAGAACGGATGCTGACTCATTGGAGATCGCATTTTGATCCCAGATGTTTTAAGGAATGCCGTGCTTCGCTAACTACACGACGGGCATCCAGGCACGACTCGTATGAAGATGCTCGCTAGAAACCACGTTTACTGGGCGAAGATCAACCACGACATTGAGAGATTCGTCAAAACTTGTCGTCGCTGCCAGGAAACGGCGAAGAATCCAGTCAAAGCTACACTTTGCTCACGGCCAGTAAAAGATAGGCCATGGAATCACATACACGCCAATTTCGCCGGACCGATCGATGGGAAAATATACCTCATAGTCGTCGACGCGTACTCAAAATAGCCGGAAATTGTCGAAATGTCTTCTACAACAACCTGCAGTACAATCAGAGAGTTACGCCGCCTTTTCGCTCAGTTCGGTAACCCACAAACACTCGTGACGGATAATGGACCTCAGTTCATATTCAAGGATTTTGAAGACTTCTGCAGTACAAATGGCGTAAGACACATGAAATCTCCGCCATTTCACCCGTAGTCTAACGGGCAAGCAAAACGTTTTGTCGACACCTTCAAAAAGAACTTCGAGAAAATGAAGGAAGGCTCGACACCAGCCGTGGAAACAGGCTTTACGATCGACGGACAGGTTTGGAAACATCCAGCGAATCAGTTGCGTTTAAATGTTGTCAAGGAGCCACACCATCCAGAGTCAACGCCGGAGGTCGCCGACCTTCCACTCCTGCCCACCTCAAAACCAATTCGGATGTCAAAAGAATCGAGGTAACACAACTCAAGGCTAAAACCAATCCACAGCCAACGTCAGTGAACACTCTCGATACAAAGACATTGTCGACAGGAGAAGCCACAGCAGGGTCAAGCGAGGCGTCGAGGAAAATTCGGAAATAGACCCCCCCCCAAAGACTACGAAACAACCCTCTTTAGAAGCCAAACTATGAAAAAGTTGTTTAATTCTCCACCAAAACTGCTCATAAAAAAGCCCTGCTACCCCACCGTCACAAAAAAACTCGTTTAAAAGTATAAAAGTGAAAAAGTTAAAGAATGATCATTAATGACGAGTCCTGTCAAACGAGCCAACGAGAAACGGAGCAAAAAACGTCAAACTAGTCACTAGAAATGGCGTACTATGACAATACCTCTTCTTTGTTTATTTCTTCCACAAGACCTACCAAATTCTAGTACTACACAGATCATGGTTCTCAATTTACACGTCCCCCTTTCGCTCAAAGGAAGCCTTGTAAAAGCCTCCGCTAGCTGTGTGTTGACTGGACTTTGGCGTTGACCGTGGAGCAGCTTATTTACTATTGAAATTTGAACAAATATACAAATGATTATAACTTTCTTCAAAGTTAACGAATTTTCAATCCGAAAGCTGTTTCGGGAGTTTAATTAAGAGCTTCTTTTAATCAGTACTGAAATTACAGCAAGTTGTAAGAAATAACAAATTTAGATCAAATAACGAGGAAAATTCGAGACGAGCACGAGTTTTTACACTTTGCGGAGCAATAGCTTGCTTCATTCAATTCAAATTCAAAAAGTTGATACGTCATACAAGACTAAAGAATTTTCTCTATCAAACGGTCGCTAATCCGTCTTTATACGTCCAGTACTCAAAAAATGGCCACGTTGAGGGTTTTTGCGAAATTCGTGATGAGTGCGAGTTTTTACGATTTCCAAAGCTATAACTCCGTTTAAACTCATGCAATCTGGAAAGTTAATACGTCACCATAAACTAGAAGATTTGCTTTTCCTATAGACAACTAAAACTGCTAAGTACGTTCACTACTTAAAAAATGGCCACGTTGAGGATTTTTGCCCGAGTACAGCCGAAAGGTACTTTTTTGCTACATTAGCACTATCCCAACAACTACAGCTACTTGCAGGAGCGATTACGTACTGAGGTAGGAGCAGATTCGAAATCCTCGTGCTTTTCTCTCTGCAAAAACTGTAAAATTGTCTAGCGTGTCTCAACTTTAAAGGATACATGCATGTGAATTCGACGCTGAAGGCTGCGTTTCTTGTTGAATAGTGTACTTCTCTCTGTAATTCAACATGAACTCTTTCAGAAACCTCTCGATTCTTCCTGAATTAAGATTCGTTATCAAGATGGCCGTAGCTGAAGCGCGCGCAACCAACTGGGCCCACTTTGGGATGCGCCGTGTGCATCACATCTCGTTGGATTTGAGGACCTACTTCAAAGATGAAATATCCATAGAAAACGTGCGAATTTCGCATCCTTTGACTTGTGTGATGAAACACTAAAGTCACAAAGAATTGCTAAGCGGACACCTCTAAATCACGAAGATTTTGTGTGGACGGAATCAATTGTTATTGAGAATACTCTGGCCTGGTATCGATTCGATCCTTAATGTTTTTCCTCCGACGATGATCCTACTGTATCAATCGGGCCCGATCTCTCCCCAGTGGGCTAACACGACCCCCGCTCTGTGACATTTCGAGGATTCCTCAACGCACGCTTGACCCTGAGCCACAGGACAACGTCGGACCAGGCCACGCACCAGAGCGACTGATGATCGACCCTAAGAAGAAGAAGTACGCTTACTTGTTAGAGCGTCCATCCTAGGAGGGAGGTGTTGTAGAAATAAAGATTGTTTATGATCTTGTGTTATCACTGACGTTGAGGTGTATATAAACACCTCGATTAACACCTTGGAGCCCACTGCAGCCCATATATGGGCTGCGGTCGATGGACTGCAGCCCATATATGGGCTGCAGTCCATCGACCGCGTAGAGCCTTACAGCCCACATATTGGAAACAAACGTTAGGTTTACCTTTTGTTTTTTCTTTCCATTTCATACGATAAGATTTCCTCTGTGTTATGCAGTAGGTTTTTGTTCCCAATTTGCTTGACAAGATTCTCAAAACTTTCACTGAAGTCCCACGCGGCCTCAAAATGCGAAACATGCGTGGTCTCCAAAGTGTTAAGTGAGGTTCAGTTTATTTCAGGCAGTAAATCTTCTTCCAAGAACTGGCCGTAGCACTTGTCGCCTGTAACTGGCACTGCAGGGGGAATGATCCATCTTCACTAATGTACTTTAGCTCAATCTTAAGCTCGATCTACACGGATGCCTTCTGATCTGTGACATGATAGTTGCGCTCCGCAGAAAACAAAGATTCGGAAGCAAAGAAAAGGGTCATCTCCTTCCTGAGCCATCACCGCTCCAACGCCAATCCTACTTGCATCCGTGTAGATCATAAATGGGCGACTCCTATCTAGCGCCTTTTTGATATTAGGTTGTCCCAGAACAGGAGCTTTTGATAAAGCTTCTTTTAATTTGTCAAAAGCTTTGCTCTGTTCTTCTGACGAGATAAATCTATTCCTAGGGCTAGTTAGCTTGTACAGAGGCTTAGCTATCTCAACGTATCTCAAGATTTTCGGTAATAACCAGCCATTTCCAGAAAGGTCCGAAACTGAGCGATATTGTGTGGTACTGGGTACTTTCGGATGTCCAACCTTATCAGGATTCGTTTTTATACCAACCTTGTCTACTACATGGCCTGGAAATTCTAAGCTGGGTTCCATTAGCCGGCATTTCTGAGGTTTCACCTTCAAATTCGCCTTCCGGAATGCTTCAATTGTTTGCTTCAACGCGTCTAAGTGGCGCTCCTCAGTTTCAGTTGCGATAAGTATATCGTCAAAATAAACTGAGATCCTCCGTTCATTTAAAGGAGGAATTTACGATTAGAATGAAGGTCGAAGAAAGGGAAACTGACCTAGTTGAGGGACCCACGGACCTCCTGAGGGTGCGAACTGACGCGCAATTTGCATGGAAAAATTTGACCTCGGCGACCTATCATGCCTCAAAGTTGGCGAGTTCGGCGATCTCCGCCCACCGATCATCTGATCACTCGCCGTAGTTCAATACCTCGCGAGTGATTAGATAGCTTAGAGAGCGTAGTCTTGAAGAGGGCATAGCGATGATAGTGCCATTAATGCTCAAATCAACGGGCAAGGAAGGGGTTCCATTTCTCGGGTTCTGGGCCGTTTCTCATGGTTCTTCCTTCTTTTGTGTATCACTCACCATCCCTAGGTTAGTTTGAAATGGGTTGCTTTTTCATCGTGAATTCGTCCTTTAAGGTTCCCAAGTACCTTATCCATTAGCCGTTGAAATGCCGCTGGTGCATTTTTAAGACCAAATGGCAGAACGTTAGAATGAAACAAGCCCGAGGTTGTTGTGAAGGCGCTTAATTCCCTCGCTTTTTCCGTGAGTGGCACTTGCCAGTGACTAGCTGGAATCTAAAGACGAAAACCATCTTTTCCGTTGCAAGTTTTGCAACGTTACGTCAATGGATGGTAACGGGTAACAATCCTTCTTTGTTACTTTCTTGATCTCTTTGTAGTCAATACACAACCACGTGCTACCATCCTTTTACCTACCAGGACAATGGGAGATGCCCAGGGTGATCGACGTTCCTCAATAATTTTGTGATCCTTGAGGTCTAAAAGCATATCATCCACTTGTTTCCGAATGCTGTAGGGCACAGGCCCTGTTTTCTGACTGATTGGAGGGTGTCCCTGTACTTCAATGCCATGCTCAAGCTGGTATGCCCAAGCTCAAAATCAGTAATCGCGAATGTTTCATCCAACTTTTCAAGAATGCTGATGAGCTAAGTCGACAGTTCCTCGGCACTTCGGTTTTGCTGCAGCATATTTATCGAAACTTTGAAGTGTTTCGATTTGGGTAAGGCTGCATGTTTTTGCATGTCAAGCATCCCACCTAACATGTCTACTGATTTGGAAGGAAGGATGGAGCAATCATCCGACCATTCGCCGAAAGGTACACCCTTATTAACTACCCGAGTCTGGTAATCGCGATTTGCTACCGAATTCCCGGTGCTTGCTTATCTCAGTAAGCACACTCCGGAATTCATGCGAGTATCAGTAGACCAGAAAATTCGTTCTCCGGATTTCCCTTGAGCCAGCTCAATGGATGCCCGGCTTTAGGTGGTATGACCATGCTCCTAGACGCTTTTGCATGTTCCTGTAAATAACCCCTTTTCTGCGATGGATCTATGCTAAGCTCAAACCGTAACTGGATTCCCAAAGCCTCAAGAACATAGGTTCCCAAGAGCAGGGTATTACTCTTGTCTTTCTGGACATGCATAGTTACTCGGACGATATCCTCTGCTTTTACGCTTACAACTGCGTTAACTATTGCAAGAAACTCCATTGGGTTGCCTGAAGCGTCGAACTTCTGGTGTTTGCATCCACTAACTACCGTTTCAACTTCGCTGTCTAAGTCAAAGCCGTTTTCCTTTGCCTGCTTAAGGAGAGCTGGTAATGTGGAGATTACTGATCCAGTACCTATTCGTGCTTTTACCTTGATTCCAAAGATCATAGCATCATATAGGGTTGGCTTCCCTACCGCCACAGTGTTTATATCTGCCGTCGGCTTTTGGGTGCGAACCATTCCACACCATTCCTCTACGAAGGTGGACAATGCTTGCCTAGAGGGACGCCCAAACTTGCTCTTCCTAAATGCACCTTGACCTTTTGCGCCTAGGAGTTTACCTCTATGTATTGATTATTAGTTGTCGGAAGTTGTGGCTTCATCACCGACTATCCTTTTCTTAAAAAAACTGAACTTCTTGAACGGCTCTTCCCTCACTGGTCTTGCAGTCTGAGTCTTTTCAAGCCGCAAATCAACCTTTTGACTGACTCGTATATCTCACCTTCTCGCGTTTCCAGTGCGGCTAACAGGTGGTATGAATCCTTCCAATGCTCTGAGCTAGAATACAATTTTGAAGCTAGATGAAAATCCCATTCATTGCTTGGATGGGTTTTGCTGGAAATATCCTCCATGCGGGAGCAAAAATCTCCTACCGATCCACTGCTGCGCTGTCTTAAGTTTGTCCCACTCATACATTATTCTCAGCCTTCCACAAGGCTTACGCCGTGCTGCCTTGAGTGCATCCACTATCCCGGCAAAGCTACCCTTTCTAGGCTCTCATAGACAGAACGCGCCGACCCTGTTAATGGTTAACCATTACATCACCGCTATCTGACTAAACGCTTGAGGGGTCTCTCTAGCGCCCGCAGAAAATCGCTTAGTGAGGCTTTAGCATCATATTTTTGGGACATCTGCTACGATTTGCGCTTCAAAATCTTTTTTAAACGCTGAACATCCCGTTCATAGCATGCTAAATATGACTGGCCTCCGAAGGTTCCCCCACATCCGAGTTTTGGGAAAATAAACTCGACTCACGATTGTCGATCCTTTGGAAGACGGCTGCGAGTATGGACTCGATCGTCCGTTAAAGAAGTTTGGTGCCCTGTCCCACCGTTCTCTTCTGGACACACACTTTGCCGACTCTGAACATTGGACTTTTCACCACCATTCAATGAGAGAAGCTGTTTGGTAACAGCACACCACTTCGTAGAGTTGTTTTTCTCACCTTGGGCTCTTGCGGCTAAGTCCTTCTGACCCGAAGAGACTTCCAGTCTTGCCATCAGATCGTCCACCTAACTTTGCAGTTGACAGTTGAGGTTTTGTAGGCATTTGATGCTCTCTTCTCGTTCAGTCATCTGCGACTTGAGAAAATCTACCTCTAGAATTCGAGCTTTTACCAATCATTACACCTCAGAAATCTCACAACCAATTTCGTCTGCTACCATTTGCATAAAACTGCTGTTACGACTCACTAATGGCAAAACATTGCGCAATTGCTCCGAAGTCATAGAAATCTCTTCAAAAATAGAATAGCTATCCTGGTCAATGGATACCCGGGCCTCCTCCTTTGCAGATTCCAGTGTACTTGAGCTAGTTCAAAATTTTCCGCTTTTTTCACACAGGCAAATTACGTATCTGATCATCCGGACTGTCTTCAAGTCGCAGAATGATATTATCAAATGCAGTGGACAATTGACTATCTTATTGACTCACCTCCATTCTGATTCCGTGGTTATCTCCCACAGACATATCTTCGACGGTGACTTTCGTGTTATCCACAGGACTATGCGTCACTCCGCTTCTAACTGACATATTCTAGAACCAGATTAGTCCCCGTCAACCGCCGGGACCTTCCTTTCCTGTGCAAGCTTTCTATCCTTCCCTACGATCCCTTCCTCCTGTGACACCAACGCCTCCTGGAAGTAACGCGTATGCAACACAATGGTGTTTCATACAGTAAAAGGGACACAATCATGATATGACGGTAGACTTTTCGCTTCCCTTCCACATCCTCTCTTCCTCTCTCCACTGCCCTCCAGCTGCCACTGCAGCACCATTTGGAATGAACGGAAGTGTGCTAAGCAGGTGTTTATATAGCCCTAAGAGTGTTATCACAACTATCCTGCTACAAAACATTGATATCTCAAATCCTAAGCTACCCGATTTGTTAGCGGTTTTTTTATTCCATGAGCTTCCTTCTCACTCACTTCATTTTGTGGACGTATCACCGACATACAAACATACACCCCCACACACATACAGACATACAAACCGACACGCAAAGTAGCGCTTCATAAAATAGAAGGATTTAGCTCAATTAGTCAATCCGACTTCGTTGGGTTGCTCTCATTTAATGTATTTCGACTCCAAAATAATCAATGTCTAGTGGTTCCAACGGTCAAGATTGAAAGAGCTCTTCCCAGAATATTCGCACAAAGATCTTACTATATATAATTCGCTAAGTATGTCTGTGCGTGTGTGTGTAGGTCTGTGTGTGAGTTTGTCACGAAATTCAGTGGGAAGAGAATATTTTTGGTGAGGGACTCAAAGTGAAAACGACTGATAAGGTCCGATAAGAGGCGCCAAAACGTTAACTCCACGATATCCATAGCGCACGTCCCAGCATCAGTGAGGCGTTGGATGTAGAGGCCAGGATGGGAAAATCTCAGTTGGGGGACTCAAAGTGAAATCGACTGATAAAATCCGATAAGAGGCGCCAAAGCGCCGACTCCACGATATCCATAGCGCCTCCCAGCATCAGTGATGCGTTATTCCAAGAGTGTTGTAGGGGTGGCACGGTATATGGTGGGGAAAGAAAGCGATTACGGTTGATAGGGGTCGTAACGATATGTGCAAGAATATAGAGGTCACTCAAAACTAGATTTCAGATAAAGCCTTTAATTTCAATTTTCTTTCATTTGCGTTGTTATCATCACCGAAATACAATTAGACCGCTACGCTCCCAGAAGTTCTAAGAATGTGTGGTGGATGTTCGAATAAATAGATAGGAGGCTGGGTGTTTCTATTTCGACATCATACACCACCCGACCGCTAGATTACACTGTCATACAATGCATGGTTGTTGTTTACAGTCACCGCACTCCACTGCGCGTATCAAACGGTGAGTTTCTGCAAATATGAGCAGCCTATGAAGCGCCAGCTAACGCATTTTACGAACCAACTCAATGTTTAGCTGTGAATCTAGCACTTTATCGGTTGCCCTTTTTATCCGGGCTTACCGTTTCATGCGCTAAGATATGATGAGAAAACAATCAAATCACTCTGGTAATGGGACCAAAGTAATGTTCACAACGTGAGCAGAGGGTCGAGTAATGCTATGATTACAAATCACTATTTATAGACAGTAGGTGAGCGTGTCCGAATACCGTGGACCGTGGCTCGGAGATGGTAATCAATACCCGAGGATACTCTAAACAACATTCACGTGGCCAAACTCCTCGATATCCGGAGGTCATTTCGCACATGACAGCATTTACGATCTTCATCACCGGGGACAGCTTCGAGACCGAAACCCACAATATTCGATGTAATTACATTAACATACAACACATGAAATGAAGCGACAGGTTGCTTCAAAACATCATCAAATAGTCTTCCGCACAAGGGAAAGATCATGTAGAAGATGCGGTTATAAAGAACATGTCGAAAGGAAAAAGCAAAATAAAAAATAGAAAGGAAACCTTACGCAGCAAACAAAAGGGCGATTGTGGCACTACCTGGAGAAGACATGAAATGAAGCGACAGGTTGCTTCAAAACACCATGAAGTGTTCCACACAAGAGAATAAATACGTAAGAATGCGGTAATGAAACGTGACAAAGGGAAAAGGTAAGATTTAAAATCAGAAAACAAACCTCACGATACTGGCAAGTCCATGGAAAATGCGTTGTTCGTAGGATGCGGGCTTCATAGCAATGTGAAAAAGTGTTCTTGACAATGAAAAGAACACGTGAATGATACTGCTATGAAAACTGCATGCAACGCAAGAATAAAAAAAACGAAAGCGAAGTATAGAAATTCATCGAATATGCAAAAATCACGCTTCATTATTGAATTTTGCAAAAAAAAAGAATCGTGCAAACCTCATGTAAAACAGGTTTTTTTCTCAATGAAACACACACCCGTTCTCAGGCGAAGTGGAGTAGCGCTAGAGAATAGCATACAGCAGAGGAACGAAATACTATTAGATCTCAAGGGGTTCAATTAGCTGAACACTCCGACAACTATCAAGTTTGTGTAGTCCGCCACGTCTGTGGCTCCACCTACCCTATCTCCCGGATTTGGACTGTAAGACCAGAGGCACGTTTGTCGGACAACCCTATCCCTACTATATATTAGGTTGGAAAGAAAGTTCTGCAACACACTTTCTTTTTTCTGAAAAATTCATAGGCAGCCTTTATGACTAACGAATGGTAAATCCATACTCCGAGTCACTGTCTAGTACAAATGTCTCCATACCTAGGGATTCGTGTCAGCGACCGACACCATGTGCTTCAATAGGCATGTCGTTCACCGCTACAGCATGTTTCACCTCTACCAGCACTTTCGATCTTTGGATATTTTATAAGCAGCCAGCAGTGTCCCGCATACTCCATTACAGATAGGGCTCTCACGGAAGCTGCACTACAAATTCTTCGTTATGGGCACCGTTGTGTAGGGGGAGGTGTAGGCTGCGAAACTCCAGAAGCTGGCCGAGGCAGCTCTTCAGGAGCTCTTAGTACCGCGACAATATTTATTTCTTTCATGGCATTGCAAATCGCCATAATCCGAGCACTAGGCGGTCAAACTTCCGGAGGGCTTGCGACCACAGATTTCTTACCTCTCCCAGCGTATTCTCTCTGCTTGAATTGAGCTGCAAATGACTGCCACCTATCCTAGACCTTGAATCATCATCTTGATGGTGAAAAATTAGGCGAAAATCCAACTGTCGCCTCTTTTCTCGATCCACACTCCGCTGGGTTTTTGGCAAAGGAGCATCAAGAAATTTCTGAGCGTTGAAGCAAGTGGTGGACCTCATGAGATATATGGCGATCGGAGTTGTAAAAAAAAAATAATATTATTAAACAATGTGAGACTTCAAAATTATTGCAAAAGACTCAAACTTTCTACAAAGAGATTGCAAAATGATGTTTGCAAAAGTTTTGCAAAAGTTTAAGCCTTTTTTGGCGAGCTTCGGCGCTTAGCGCCTTTGTCGAGCCGAAATGAAAATTATAAGCTTTCTTAAGTCTGTTAATATATTAAAATATATTAACTGACGCCCAGCTGCTGTTCAACTTTCAAAGTGTAACACTTACCACCCTCGTTGTCTGTGAAGCAGCAACTGTTCCCTACCTAGATTTACCCTTAAATAGCGTTGACGTGCTGACGACGTTTATTTCCACAAAATATTCGCATTCATCCACAGTGATGATAACTGTAGTCATGCGATGATATAAAGAGTCACGCAACTCGTCTCTGCTATTTATTTTCCGGGGCTAGTCTTTTTATTTTCCAGAGCCTCCAGTATTTTGGCGTCCACTGTGTTTTTCAACGAACGTGTAGGACTTTACGTTAAGGGTGGGTGGATCCCCTTGGGCATGTTGTTGGTTCTATGTTTGGAGAAACTGTTACCTGGATATGAGGCCGGATTTTGTAGAGCCCCCGATGTTCATGACGAGTCGTTTGGTTCAGTAGGTCCTTCTGTTTTCTCCACATATTTATGCCCACATCCTTGGCATCTATTGCATAAACTGTAACCTCTTAGTTGCAATTTTGTCGTCCTTCAGTAGATGCAACCATTCCTCCCAATTTTATCCCGTAGGTCTGGAGTATGTCAGCATCGCTTCTAGTTGGGGGTGGCGAACACAAGTCGCACTGGGAGTGAGGAATTCCTTACGACATTGTTGACCATTCCATGCTATTTTTTCGGTTAACATACGGTATTATCCATGGTGATCCCATAGGTTGTGGAGTACGGTCTCCATTGACCGCAAGTTTGTACTTGAATATCCGTTTTTCTCTCAAAATAAGTTCCATCCATTATGTCTACTTCACTTGAGGCTGACTGCAGACTTTAGTTCTTGGTCGAAAAATCAGATTGCGGACGACGTTGGCCTTCATGTAGATGGGGGTGGCAACTTCTAGCATGTAAAAGTATATTCTAGATGCAGGTTCTTGTACCAATTGAAGTTCCTTCTCTCCTTCCGTTTGATGCTAACTTTGGTGTTGAGAACTCGGAACAAACCCTCCTCATTTGGCTCTTCGACCGTGAATTTAATGTTGGGATTTGTGAATTGAGGTTTCTTAGCGTGTCTTCTAAATCCTCGTGGAAGAGCAATAATGAACACAGTTCATATATCGCTTGTACAATGCTATTCCAAGCGTCAGACCATGCTACGTTCAAACGATCGAGAATATCTATTGTATAAGGGTGCTATTCTTAGCCCAATGGCTAACCTCCGTGTTGCTTGTATAATTGCCATCTACTGGAAATAAAAAATAAAAAATAAAAGGTCTACACCGTTCCGTTGAAAACGCACAGTGACCACATACTGGAAGGCTCTGGAAATAAAAGACTATCCCCGGAAATAAATACGCAGAGACGAGTCGGTGACTCTCTTCAACTCATCGCATGACTAACAGTTATCATTCAGGTGGAATGAATGCGATATTTTGGAAAATAACGTCGTAGCACGTCAAGCTATTTAAGGGAATCTAGGGTAGGGAACAGTTCCTGCTTCACAGACCAACGAGGTGTATGTTACACTTTTGAAAGTGAACAGCAGGTGGTCAGTTTAATATATTTTAATATAT